ACTTTGTTCTCCCTTTGCACTGATGTAGCTTCATAGCCACCCAATGGGAAGTGATGGTTATAGTGCTGTAAAACTGGTGGAAATAACAGGATTACCTTTGACTAACCACAGGGTTTTCTATGTCAGGAATTGAAACAGCTGGAAATCACTGTGCCCTCAGACTTCGTTTTCCTTTTTGAAGAAAGGACTAAATCATATATTTGGTTCTTTTATGCAGCATTCTACTCAGTGTAAAGCCTGCGAAAGTAAGTGGAAAGGACAAAAGGCAGGTGGGGAAAGAGACAGAGAGGCATCTGCTGACCAAAACCCATGTTTATTCAAGACAGGAGAAGGTATTTGTCAGTCAGGTGAAGGTAGGACCTGGGGAATCCACCCTTCTCAGCATTATGTTGTCCCTAAATTTTGGAGCCACCAGCAGCAAGACCAATAGGTAGTAATGAGAGATAAACCCCCGAGTGCTCACTGCAAGCTTCTTACAGGCTCCCTAATTATCATTCACCTTTGTTTCCTGCAGCAATGATGGCCTGCAGGAGGAAAGTCCACTCTCCTTCCACCTCTTCAGGCTGGACCAGCTCCCTGGGGTGAGTGATGGTGGGAGCAATGGCTCTGCTTTCTGTTGGGGATATCATCAGAGATGCATGAGGCAGTTGAGGTGTTGGCAGTCACAGTGCCCTGGTTGTACCCACAGTCACCTTCTAGCTCTTGCAGCAATGAGCAGCCAGAGGTAGTTTCTCAGCTCTCCAAGGTGGTTGTGAATCACTCAGAACTCCTCAAAACTCTTGGTTTTGAAGGAACCAAGTTTCCTGTCTGAAGTTCTCCCAACATCAGAAATTCCAGTTCCGCTGGATTTGCTTTTGGTCTGGTTCTATGAACACTTACACTGGGAGAACATCTTGAAGATCTTTTGTCTCAGGTCTTGCAATTGAAGTAGCTGTGACAACATAACACAATTTATTTCCTTTAAAATTGAATGGTGGTAAAATTGCCATTGTCAGTGCTGTTTGAAAGGGTTTTTTCGAGCCATCTAAGACTTAATAAAACCATAATTTTACTGCTTCAGTGGGGAAAAAGCTGTTAATGAGGGGTACCATGATAAAGAAAACTGCTTTTTGGCTCTGCCTATGAACTGGCTTAATCTGCTTCCAAACAATTGGTCCCACTTACGAGCAGACCGTAGTGTGTTTACAAAGTACCATCAAGCATTCCCAGACCTCATAGTTTTATGTCTGTGAAACACTTGGTATTATGATCTCACCTCATGATACAGAATCTCTCTATTCAAGTTTATACATGACGTGGAAAGCCTCCGAGATGTACTCCGAAGTGTAAAATGAGTGTAATTCCCCTGGAATGAAAGAGACGTGCCAATGTATATCAAGTGAAGCTATGGCCCACAGTGTCTCAAAGACATTTGCTTTTGTCTAGCAAACAAGCAAACAAACGTTCTTCATTTCAATGGAAAGCAACATTTATGTCTCTCCTTGCTCATGTACAGAAGGAGATCAAAGATGGCACAATCCCTTCTTACAAGGCAACGTTTCACTACCAGACAATTAATATGATAGTATCAGGGAAATGAAAATCCATTCCATACCAAGGTGTTTCCCCTCATGGACTGGAAAACCATTCGGTTTATCGTTTTCTGTCTTTAGGCAAAAAGGTAACTCTTATTTGCATGATTGTCAGTTTGTGCTTGAGAGTACCAGATTTACTTAAAAACAAGCTCAGCCAGCTAAATGAAATGCCAATGGCCTTATTATCCTGAGAGAGCAAAGCACTTAAGCCCATGATTAAAATGAAGTTAATTGAATTTAAGCCTGTACTTAAAGCATAGCCATAAATACTTCACTGAATAGCCAGGAGATTATTCTCATGCTTAAGTGTAGCACTAATCAGTATTTTCCTAAAGCCAAAGTTTATAACCTTCTATGAGCAGTTCCAAGTATCCCACTAAGAAAACTGGCACCAAAATCAGGGTGTTTCTAAGGAATTTGTTTGACAGAATGAAGTTCAAGGTGCTGCTTATACAGCAAATAGGCAGAGTAGGTTTGAAACAAGAACACAAACATTAAAATCTGGGTGTGATGAGTTATGTGTAAGAAAGGCAGGAAAAAGCCTGTTTCAAGTTGATTTGTGTGGTTTTCTCAGAAACACATCCCTGGTAATGTAGAACGGAAACATCTCCCTGTTGTACGGATTTAGAGGATAGTGGGAAGTGAAGTGCAACTATATTGGGTATTTTCACACCCAAGATCCTCTGGATCAGGTTGGTCTTTGGAATTCAGAATTGGGGGTTGAATTTAAAATGTCAGCTCTGAAGTTGCCTGATCTAGTGGAAGGTGTCCCTGCCCCATTGCAGGGGGTTGAAACCAGATGATCTTCAAGGTCCCTTCCAACCCAAATCATACTGTGATTCTATGATCCTATGGATGTGTTGAGAAAGCTAAAGTGGTTCACTAACAACCAGTTTCACAGTTTTGACCAAGAGTTATGTTCCTATTACCAGCTGCATTTTATACGTGCAATTTGTAACTATGTAATGGTATTTCTAGGATGGTAGAGAAGCAGAACTGAGGTATCACACAATTTGGACAAAATGCAGACCAGAATGGTACTTTAGAGAATAAAATATGACTGCAGTGAGATATGAGTGTCAGGATGAAAAGCAGCTCTCCTAACACAAATGAAGAACACAAGTATGACCCAACTAGGTGGGATCAACATTCTGCCCAGCTCAAGTGTCTTGCCCAACAGGCAGCAACAGAGGATGCCTGGAGGAAGAACGCAAGTACAAGGCAAACAGTAATGGCACAGAATACTCACCAACAATTGGCAGCCAAGAGACTTCTGGAGCCAAAGGTCAGTGTCTTTGTATTTACAGACCTTTAATGGGTTTTTCTTTCATGAATAGCTCTGTCACTGGTTTTGGTTTTTGAGCTTCTGTAAACTTTTAGTCCCACAATGTCCACTGGCAGAGATCTGAACCCCTTCTAGCACTTTATGTGAAGAACTACTTTTTTCTCCTCAAAAGCCCGCAGCTAAGCTTCCTTTCACCTCCTCCAGAACTGGAAGACAAAGTCTTCTTTCACCTTCCCTGTTCCACCTGGGCTTTTTGCAGATGTCTGCAATATCCTTTCTCAGCTCTTTCCAGGTGGAAGAGACTACTTAGACATTCCCTGCACAGGACAATTTGATGCTTCAGATCACTCTTTTTTGGCCTTGTCTGTACCTCTGCCAGATGAAGGATTTGTTTATCAGATGGAAACCGAGCCCACTGCCTGGATCCTGAGATGCAGGTGCACCAGGAATTCAGTGTCAGAGTGACCCGCTTTGCTTTGTTTGACGTTCCTTTTGTGGCTATTCCTGACATTCAGTGAACTCCTTGGTGACCAAAAATACATTCAACACCTGCATCAAACTATTATAAATTATTGTTCCTGAGTAATAATGCTCCAGCACATCATCTTGGAAGTGACTTCACTCCCACATGTGCTGCTTTACTTTTATAGTTATACCAAATTTCATCTGTCTTTTGTTTCCCACTCAGTACAGTGACCTCCTTCTTCCGTTCTTCACATTGAGTCCTCATCTTCACTTTCCTGGCCAACATTTTTACCCACAGATCATCTTACTGCCTTTTCCAGCTCATTGAGCACTACATTGAGCAGCACCAAAGTGCAATACACCTGTGAAAATCCACTTCTCTCTACCATGGAAAGTAACCAGATATTTCTTTTGAGTAGCAATACCTTCTCAGGAGACCATTACCTCCTTTCTCCTGGCATATAATCTTCCCTGAGAAAGGTGGGAAACATTGCCAAGAGTCTTTCAGAAATCCAGGCAGAATATACCAAGAAGAATATTATCTTCCTTACACTGACTGACTGAATCCGTCAAAGGAATCCAGTAGTGATCTGCAGAGCCTGACTCCTTGGACAAGCCATGTTCATCCTTCCCTGCTATATGCTTTATGGGGGGTGTCTGAACCTTCTATTCTATTGTTGGCTTAAATCTTGCCAGATAGTTGGGGCTCTGGCAAGGGACTCCAGCTTGCAGTGTGAGGGAGACACAAGGTTTCTCAGGAACTAGGGGTTTGAGAGGGTTGAGCTGATCAGACACAACCCTCATCACCAACCCCCATCCCTGGCAGTGTTCGAGGCCAGACTGGATGGGGCTTGGAGCAAGCTGCTCTAGTGGAAGGTGTCCCTGCCCACGGCAGGGGTTGGAACTGGGTGAGCTTTAAGGTCCCTTCCAACCCAAGCCATTCTATGGCTCTATGATCTTCAAGAAGATCAATGGCTAGTAATTAGATATAATCATAATATTCTCATTATTTTAGTAAGAACTGCTTTGATTCTTCAAGCATCTAATTGCATGAACTTTCTGTTTTACATTGTTCTCCTAGGGTGTGCTGCTGTCAGGCTGTTCCTGGACTTTGAAACCTCTGTGAGCTCTGTTGTCAACAAGACTAATAGGCTTTTATTGTGTTTAACTCACAGAGCATGAGCATGCAGACTTACAATGTTAGTCTCCATTTTTGCCATCTTTGCATGTAACATGGAGAACGGTGAAACACAAATGGAGAAGGCCTGATATGAAGATCATTCATGCTTTATAATTGCATTTCTTACATGAAAAATACCATTATCCTAATTACACTGGCCTGTTTTGAGGTTTGTGTGTCTGCATGTGCGCACAGATGTACCATGTAAATGCCTTAAATGTGTGTATATATATTTATATGTGCATATAGATCTATTTATATGCATTAAACATGTATATACACATTTATATCCATTAAATGCATTCAGATTGCGAGTATTCTTCCTATGCACAGAGACTTAATGCAAAGAGTCAATACATGGTGATTGTAATAGCTCCCATTTTGCAACCTAGATAAATTATTCACTAAAAGGGATCAGGCAGCTCTGGCAAGAACCAGGATTTACACTGGGAAAGAGCTTTTGATCTACAGATTGTAGGAAAGGCACAGCACAAAAGATGGCTGCATTGCACCGGAGCGAGGAGCGTTATTACAGGATGAAGGAAGGAAGCAAAAATAGACCTGACACACAAGTTTTGCTGAAAGTTTCTAAAGTGGGAATTTGAATTCTCTGCAGCCGGCTCTGGGTGCGCTGCTGGGTGTGTTACCCGATCCCGAGCTGGGGACCCTCGGCTCCTCCCCGCCGCCAGCATGCGAGGAAGAGAGGAATAGGAATCACTTGGAAAAGAGCTAGGGCAAAAATAAAGGCTCGGAAAATGGAGCTGCAGTAAGTTGCTGGAAGGTAAAGCCCTGTTCATTTGTTACTGCTTCTTGCTTTGTTTTCTTCTTACGAGCGCCTGCCTGCCACTTGGGTTTGTTATGCTTTGAAGTGCGTTTTGCAGCAGGGGGAAGGAGATTCGCGGAGATGGCGTCACTTATAAAAGTTTCCAGATTTTACTGAGCTTGTTTGTTTTCTTCTTTTTTTTTTTTAAAGGGGGTTGGGGGGTGTTGTTGGGGTTGTACTATTCGCAATGCAAGTGGGCGATGTGGCCGAGGTCTAAATATACGCCTGTGGAAACAGAACCCCGCAGATAGCGACACCGATAGCAGAGGCTATTGTTAACTTTTGGGATTCCAATTAAATCCTGCAATGTTAAACATTTATTTAATTACTGGATAGCGAGCAGGAATTCTCGCTGGCTACACCAATGGAGTCGGAATAGCGCAGTAAGGGAGAGCTGTTTCTCCTACCTCCCCCCCAAATCTAAATAGCTATAGGCAAGCACAGGCTCGAACAGGAACATTCAAGGACAAAAAAGTTGCAGCTTTGTTTTAGGAGTTATATTTCAGTGGGGTAAGCGAACTATATTGCATGTATTTTTCCGTATCTCCGGCTCAATCCAAACATAACATTCCAAAGGATAAAATCTGTTACAGAATAAAACCGACTTCGTGACAGCTGAACTTCCATGCGAAGTCTAAAAATGATCTAAAAGCGCCTTGAGAATCCTAAATGTCATTCCCAAGATGTGGTGAATTGTAATTAGGGCTGGGAACTATTTTAGTGACAGTGCCTTACATGGGGCCCATGGAAGCAGCTGAGGCATTTATGAACTTGGTGGGTTTTCTTCCTTTACATGCAAAGGTTTTCAGACAATAACAATGATCCCAATTTATTTCAGATTTGCAAAAATGGAACCAAAACTGAAAATGTGGTGTTTGCCCTTTGATTTCCCTTCCTGTATCTCCTTTTAAAGCATAGGCCATAGAGCAGTGCATAAAGAGCGGAAGAAAGCTCATCAACAACAAAATAGTGAATGAAAAATAACTTTTAAATTATTATAATTGAGAAAAACCCTTATTTTGTGTTTTTCTCATCTGTGTTCTCCAAAAGGTTTAATTTTTGTTTTAGACAATGATCCGGTTCCCCTTCTCCTAACAAAAAGCAAAGAAAGGAAAAATACAATTCCAGTGGAAAAGAGAAGCCAACAGCTTGTAACATGCTGCCCAAAGCCTGCACTACACCATGCCCAAGAGCACTTTAATTTTATAATAGACATTATTATGCTTGTATATGCAGATCTTGATACTGTAGAGGAAATTATTAAACCCAACTATTTGGTCATGAGGGTGGAAAAGAAAAAGCTGTGTCCCTAAGTGTGCCACGAAATTTAAATACAGGTTTTAAACACAAGGCCCAGCGTCTGTAACTTGGGGACCTGGACAGGAATACACCCAGAAGGAGAAAGTCAAGTCCTGTCGGTTCCTACATGAGAAAGCTCCAGCACTTGGCATTGCCATCACTAATTGCTTTGTGTTGTGAAATCCTGAAGTGATAAAGCTGCTGTTAGAAAGTTGGCCTGTGAGTAATTAAGGGTAGGTCTGGCTATTAAAACCTGGTTTGTTACTCATAGGCTGCACTCATCTGCTGTGTCTTCTCTTAAGATACAGATAAACTCAGCGTCCTTTTCCTTGGTCTAAGCCAAAAGTAACTGCATAATGAATGGTTTTTAGCCATAGGGATTGTTCAGACACATATTGTTGGATGAATTACCTTTATCGTAATAGGTACAATTATTGTAATAGATGGCTTCTATTTCAAACTGTTTCTTTTTCCTTTCATTTATTCCCAGAGGACATGCTGCAGATGTGTACCTTTCTTCATTTAATGTTTAAAATACTGATTTTACTCAGAAGGAAAAGTTTCCTTTTTCTTTTTTTTCCTTAAATTTCTGTTTCAGAGTGTTTATTATATTCAAGCTTGTCCATACAGTGGGTGTAACCAGGGGCAGAATTTGGTCCATGATGTGAGCTAAATTTTTAGGGCTTCCACTATTTAGAGCTCTGTTGAGCTAAAAATAGTTTTCCTGTGGTTTTGGCCATGGAGCCTCAAATACAAGTTTTCAGTGCACAGTTAATTGTGGATGTTGGTCCCAACTATTGCTACAAGCAATGGAATTCCAGCTCATGAGTCTGTCAGCAGATGATTATGTTGAGTGTGAGGCTACAGTGATCTTCTCACTGTCCCGAAGTGAGAATGATTCCCACCCAAACACCAGGCACTTTCCAAAGGGACTGTGCTGAGAAGGCAACACTTGGGCTGGGGAGTGAAGAGCCCCAGGAAAAATTGGGTCTGTGCAGGCAATAATAGTGGGCATGTTGTGATGGGCCAAGGGGAATGGCTTGAACCTGCCAGAGGGGAGGTTGAGCTGAGCTCTTAGGCAGAAGCTCTTCCCTGTGAGGGTGCTGAGGCGCTGGCACAGGGTGCCCAGAGAAGCTGTGGCTGCCCCATCCCTGGCAGTGCTCAAGGCCAGGTTGGACACAGGGGCTTGGAGCAAGCTGCTCCAGTGGAAGGGGTCCCTGCCCATGGCAGGGGGTTGGAACTGGATGAGGTTTAAGATCCCTTCCAACCCAACCCCTTTTCTGGTTCTATAACAACACTGAAGAATACACCCAGGAGGCTATCCAGAGGTCTTGGTCTGGCTGCTGCAGACAGCTTTTAGGAGGCAGAAGCCATCCTTTGAGCTTAGTAGTGGGAGTCAGACTCCAGAAAGTGTTCATATACTGTGAGATTGCGTTCTGGAAATAGTTGGAAATCACTGACCAGATGAATGAGAATACTGGTACTGCTGATGCAGTGGTGAGGGTAAGCTGGGGGATGGTCCAGAAAAATAGCAACACCAGAGGAATATCCAAAGGAATTGTGACATTTACAATTTTTTATCCCTTCCTGTGTGAGAGCAGTGTATTAGGTTGTGTTAATCAGCTGGGCCATTTATTCCATTCCTTTGGGAAGGTTTCCACCCCTTGTTCCAAGAAGCAGATCCAATTCAGCAGTATGATTGAGTGCTATCCGTAGGTGTCAATGGAAGAGGGTTCACAGCCTGATGTGGACTTTGTGACAGTTCTCAGGCAAAAGCTTCTCTTAGTTACCACTTCTTACACATCTTGCTCTTCCTGCAGTGTCTTTTTTTCCCTATTGGAATTTTGCTTTGTTTTTTTTTTTTTTTTAATTAGTTTTCCAGACATTCATTTCTTGAATTGCATGCCCAGTTTTGCACCCCTCGCTGACGCTCAGATCTGTCAAACCCCATACACCATCTCTAAGATACCCACATTTTTATCCTGTGGAGTGTGAAAACTCACAAAACCTTTACGTAATGCCTTTGTTTCTAACGTCCTCATAGATCTACCCATGTTCAGTAACACATCTCATTTATTCTTCCAGTCTGAGAAGCGTTTGCAGCTTTAGACTCACTTGGGAAGTATAACTTGAGCTTGCTTTTCCCTCCCCTGGCCTACAATTTCATTTTAACATCTTGTACCCATAACTTCAGAAGACAAGATTAATTCTTCTCTCCCCTCCTCTGTACTGTTGTGTGAGTTGAGTCATGCAAGGTACCCAGAAGTGTGGCTGTAACAATAACAGGGTACATAATTTATTCTCATAGCATTCAAAGACTTACAGCCTTTGAATGAGTGTAACTTCACAGGAGCCTGCACCAAGGGCCTGGTAGATAACCACCTTTCATGTATTTCCTCCAAACATTAAACTCTTTGTTTTTTCACTTTTTTTACATATCTGATGCAATGCACCCAACCTTTGTATTGCCTTCTTGTTGTGAGGCAGTAGCTACTTAGCATCTAGCACCCTTGTTCTCAGTCTGCTGTAACTCGCAGGGTTAAGAGGACTAAATGGCCAGAGCTAATGCCACCTTCCTTTCCACTTGCTGAACTCTGCTCAAACTTAACACTGCTTTTCAGCCTCAAAAATATACATAAAGGTATGTATAGTATGTTAGCCCCTCCTTAGCCTTTCCCACCCTGAAACTTTTCAAACAGGGATGGCATGTTCCTCTCTTCACTGCCAAAAAAACCCTGAAATTCCTTTCTCAGCCTTTCCCCCTTCCCCCATTTCTTCTCAGCTGACAGCTGTGAGAGTGGAACCTTCTTGAGGTATCCGAACCATCTCCCCGACTCATGTTTTGAAACTAGATTTGGATTAAATAGTAAGCCATCTTTCACAATGCAGGAGTTTTTTAACATAGGTAGAAAGTGGTTTTGCAAATGCTTCATGTGGGTAAAGGCATGATAACTGGTTTTAATATATACTCATATATACACATATATATGTAAAACCAGTTTTCCCCCTTCTCCCCCAGCTATTTAGAAAGTTGACAGAGAATGAAGTGGAACAGTGCAGTCATTTCAGAAGTCACAGGAAGGCCAAAGTTTCAGAATAAAGCAACTTCCCCCTCCCCATTATTTCCTTATAATTCAAACAATCTATTTGATTTTGAAACTATTCATTTCTAGCCAAACAAAAATCTCATGCAGAAATATAGGGATTGTATTCAAAATCTGGAGAGAAACATCAAAATAATGTAATTTAAGATGCTTGTTGAAATTCATAGTTGCCTCTCAACCATACAAACTGGTGGTAGGTATTCTATTGTTTGTTTTGTACTTTGATCAGGCTGTAAGGTTATAGTAGCTCCAGCACACACATCTACAGTAATGTTGGTTTATGAGGAGGCAGTTTTTCATCTTCATTGCTATTGGGTTGTGTGTAAAGGAATGCAAGACAGGTACTTTGGTTGGCTTTAAAGACAGGACCAAAAGCATAAACATGTGCAGTTGTCTCTGCAAAATCGGAACACACAATTAGCAATTAAACATTGAGGTAAGTAGAAGGTTAGGTTGTCTTTTTTCCTTGGACCATCACAGTTGCATGTCTATGTGTTGGAAAATCTTGGTTTGCCAATGCTAAAAAGGACTGATGGTTCCATGAGTTGTAAAATT